GGATGTGCATTTTGTATCTGTGTATTCAAAGTGGTTAGGATAGATATATAGCTACATTCTCTTAATGAATAGAATGATTTGTTCTAATGGTGTTTGTAAATAGGATATCATGTCCACATTTTGTACAGCAATTAGCCACTAAGAAGAATGTATGCAGTGTGTTAATTATTGAAACTGTCCTACTGATTTGAAACTGTCTCATTGCTATTTGTTTATCAATAAAATTATGGCAAAAAAAGAAAAGGGGAAAGACACCCCTTGTTCTTAGATAGGCAGAACCAATATAGTGAAAATGACCATACTGCCAAAACTGTTATACAAATTTAATGCACTCCCAATCAAAATACCAACAACATACCTCACAGAACTAGAGAAAAAAATCCTAAATTTAATTTGGAACCAGAATTGACCTAAACAATTCTGGGCAATAAAGGCAAGGCGGCAGCCTCACAATCCCTGACCTGGAATTATACTACAGAAATACCATGATTAAAACAGTATGGAGAGAGAGAGAGAGAGAGAGAGAGAGAGAGAGAGAGAGAGATCTACATCTGTATCACATCATCAGGCAAAAATGAGTCCTTCCACAATACAGAAGATTGCCTAAACATGGATTAAATTAGATCTTTGACAAGGGGGGAGAAAACCCAGCATGGTACTGGCAGAAAAACAGGCCCAAAGGTAAATAGAACAGAATAGAAAAAGCAGAAACAACTCCAAGCACACTCAGCTATCTTTGACCAATGTGCCAAACGCACTCATTGGAAGAAAGACAGCCTCTTTAATAAGTGGTCCTGGGAAAACTGGCTGTGCACATGCCAAAGATTAAGTCTAGGCCTGTGATCTTCACCATGCACTAAACTAAAACTGAAATGGATCACAGATCTAAATATTAAAACTGAAGCTCTTAATCTGCTAGAACATAAAATAGATAAATCTCCTTAAGACATAGGTATATGCAAACACTTTATGAGCAGAACCTTGTACAAATAGGAAATACTACAAAGATTCAATACCTGGGATCACATCACAGTAAAAAAGCTTTTGCACAGGAAAAGAAACCCCTGACACACTGAAGAGACAACCCACAGTGTGGGAAAACATTTCACCAGCTATTCTGCAGACAAAGACCTAATATCTGGAATATATAAAGAGCTAAAAAAAATCCGAAGTCCCAAACGTAAAGACTCAATTCACAAATGGGCATCTGAAATGAATAAACTCCCACTTCTCTGATGAAGAAGTACAATCAGTAAATAAATGTATGTAAAAGTATTTAGCATCATTCGTCATTTAAGAATTGTACGCTGAGATTCCATCTTGCTCCAGAAAGAATGGTTAACATCAAAAAAATCAAGTGGTGCTTGGAAAGCTGGTTGTCCATGTTCAGAAGATTGAAAATGTACCCTTGTCTCTCACCATACACTAAATTAAAATAAAAATGGACCCAAAAATCTAAACATTAAAAAGAAACATTAAACCTAATGGAAGATAAAATAGATAAAACTCTTGAGGACATATGTGTATGAAAATATTTCCCACTCAGAAGCTGAATTGCACAAAAAAAAAAAAACAGCAAGAATCAACAAATGGAATTGTACTGGACTAAAAGTCTTTCAGATAGCAAAGGAATTGATCAGAAGAGCGAAGAGACAATCTCCAGAATGGGAAAAAAATTGCAAGCTACTTGTGAGAGGACTCATAACTAAAATATACAAAGAACTCAAAAAAATTAAAAATTAAAGATACAGTCAAGAAATGGAAAAAAAATGGGCAAGAGAAATGAGCAGACACTTCAACAAGGAAGAATTACCCATGATCAACAAATATATGATAAAATGCTCCCGTCTCAGGCCATTAGAGAAATGCAAATTAAAACTCCACCTTACTGCAGAAAGAGTGGCCACCATTCAGAAGTCAAACAACGACAAACACTGGTGAGGCTGTGGTGACAAAAAAAAAAAAAACCCTCCTACAGTGGTGGTGGGAATGGAAACTAGTGCAACCATTATGGAAATCAGTATGGAGATTTCTCAAGGAATTAAAGTTAGAAAATTCTATATGAGCCAGCTGTCCCCCTGTTGGGTATCTTCCCCAGAGAGCTGAAGTTGTAATAGAGTGACGCACGCACACCAGTGTTCAGGGCAGCACAATCTATAATACTCAATCCTGGTAACTCTCTGAGAGCCCATGCACAGACGACTGGATAAAGAAAACATGGTATCTCCATACGATGGAGTGTTATCCTGCTGGAGAGAATGACAGATCTGAGACATTTGTAGGAGAATGGGTGTACCTGGAAAATACAACGTGCAGGGAAATAAACCAGACACACGAGATTAAATACCAGATGACATCTCTCATTTGAGGGAGGCAAAGTACAAAGAGGATAATAAGGACAGATAGAAAGGGAAGAGGAAATGGGTCTCTTGAAATAGGGAAGGGACCCAAGGGGAAAAGCACGAGGTACAAGTAGAGCAGGAGGAGAAGGGGAAGTACACAGAAGCAAGATACACTGAACCAGGATCCTAAGAACCTCAAGGAAGGCGGGCCATGACTTGAGCTAGTATTGATAATATCAAGAGGAATGAAAAATATCATAGGGGAATTGGAGGAGGAGGGGGCAGGGGACCTAAGAAGCAAAAATCAAGCTGTGGTAGGAGCCACTCCCCAAGATGACTGGCCCACATGAACTGCAACATGTACCAAAAAGTAAAAATAATAATAATAATAATAATAATAATAATAATTAATTTATGTATTTGGTACAAGGTCTCACTACACAGCGTGGACTCACAGTGATCCTCCTGTTTTCAGCCTCCCCAGTGCTGGGATTACAAGCGTGCACCACCACTCCCAGACTCTGGCTGGCTCTGCATCCAGGGCCAGCTCGGCATGTGGTGCTAGGAATCAATTCCTGGTCCCTGTGTTTGCCTAAGCAGGCACTTAGTCCTATATGCTATCTTGCTGGCCCTTTAAAGTAAAAAAAAAAAAAAAATTAAAAATATAAGAAAGAGCTTGAAGTCCACTCCTATTTCTTTCTCTATTCCCACCATACTGTGGAGTAGACCTCCAGGGCCACCTCCCCCACCCAACTTAGCCTTGTACCTGCTGACCACTGTCTCCCACTTCTGTCCTCTTTCCCCACAGCCTTGAGAAACAACTAACCCACGCAACTGTCAATTAACAAGATAAATCTGGGCATGGTGGCACATGCCTCTAATCCTAGTACTTCGGAGGCTGAGGCAGGAGGATTGTTGTGAGTTTAAGACCAGTCTGGGCTACAAAGTGAGCTCAAGACCAGCCTGAACTGCATAGTGAGACCCTGTCTCAAAAAGACAAACAATTAACAGATAAAAACCTTCTCTGTTTCATTGGTGTGCTTAACTGGAAATTGCAACAGATTCACTCACAGTATGGAGAATTGGCTCAGTTTTCTTGAAATGATTATGAATTAAAACCCTTTTAAAAAATCTACACCTTTTGACAGAAATGAAGATTTCATTACAAAGGTGTTGGTTGGGGGATTTGTGGGAGAGAGTGCGGATGGCTGCCCCAGGCCTGGGTTTCGTCCCCACACCAAACACAGGGACGCACAGGGGTCAGCCGCCCCAAGTCTACACTGTGCTCTGTGAGTGAATTATGAGCGTCTAGACACAGTTTCACGCCTACCAGAAACGGCTATAGTTAAACCTAGAAGGGCAGGTGTCCTTCTTTATCTTGTTCCAGAACTACTGTCACACCTGGCCTGATCACAGGCACAAGATAAAAATTTATTCCATCAATTATTATTGTGTTGAAGACCGTTTCTTGGCCTTGGAAACAAAATGTCTGTAAGAGAGGGCTGGGGAGATAGCTCAGCGACACAAGCACCTGCCTGGTATGCGCAAGTTCTGAGTTCAATCCCTGGTACTGAGGGGGGAAAAAAATGTCAATGAGAGGAGATGAAGCAAAAATGAGGATTGCAACCTCCAGGATATAAAAATAGATTTATACTCACATTAAAGAAAAAAATCCATTTTGTGAATAGCAGTTTCTCTCTAGATGACTTGAGCATTGTATGTCTTAGCTACATTTTTCTAAATTCTCTTTCCTACAATAAAGATAAGTAATTTTTAATTTGGAAAATTTTAAGTTGTTTTATACAAATTATAGCTACAGAAGGAAGAGGTTGATAACATAATATTAGGGGGAAAATGTAGCAGATAACTTCAAAATGATCTCACGACAGTCATATACAAAATAAATACATGAACAACAGCAAAAGACTAGAAAATACTTGCGCAGAACGATTGTCTCTGGGGAGTCATATCGTCCAAGGGATAATTTTCTACCTTTCATTTTATTCCTTAGGAGATTTTTCAAATGTTCTATTATAAGTACATATTCCATTGAGTGTAATAGAAAATTAACTTTTATTTTCAAGACATATGATTATTGCATTGCTTTCAGGAAAAAGAAATCTCAGTCATTATCCAGGAGGGGACCGGGAGGGAGGAGGCGCCGCCGGGCGGGGGCGCTGGAGACCCGGGCCTCGGCTCCGACCCCTGTTCTGCAGCGCCGGGAGGTCCTGGAAGCAGGGAAAGAGAGATTCGGGTCAGTAGGAGGTTTTAGGTACAGGCTCTACGTTTTTTGCAAAAGTATTCCTAGCAGGAACCCCGAGGCATTGTCGCTTCTACGATGCCCTTAAAATCAACCTCAGGCTGCGGTGCAGACGGCGAGGCGTTTCTAGAAAGCCTGTCCGCCTTCCCTCCGCAGGGCACACGCGGGCTCAGTGTCTCGAGGTGACGGGAGGTGACGCTGCCTCCAGCAGCGCGAGCTTCGGGTCCCCTCGGGGTCGCCCCCCCCCCGCCGGCCCGCCCCGCCCGGCTGCCAGGGAGGCGCTGTGAGCTCGCAGGAGGCGCGCAGCCTCCGACCCCCGCGCTGCAGCCTGCCCCCCAACACCTGCCTCGGTAGGATGCTCTTCCACTACCGCTTTGCTCTGCTTGGTATTTTCAAAGGAAAAAGGAGATGTTCTGAAGCCTGGATGCCTGCGAGATACAAGAAGCAAAACTGAGTTCAAAGAATCCTCGAAACGTGTCACCATCTCAAACATAACCCTGACGTTCGAAGGGGAAAGATGTTTTCAGACCCTCTTGACCCCAATACAAAGCGAGGCGACGCTACCCAAAGAGATGAGCGAGGCGGCCTCTGAAGACAAGAAGGCTGATTCCAGAAACGCGGCTCTCAAAACTGTGGAATCCAGGTACGTGGGTAGGCAGGTACCAGAGGCTTCTAAAGGGACGTGTAAACAGATCTGTGTTTGAAGGGACAAATGAACAACTGTAGAGTCAGCTTGTAGCCACCCACGCTCGCTTCAAACTTGGCTGAATCCCATTTTCACACCAGCTTCTCGCACCAGCTGGCATTTCCGGCTGCTGGCCTGGTGCCAAGCGAGCACTTGGAAAAAATACATCGGAGAAGCCACGGTGTTTGCATTTCTGAGTTGTGACGCTGAGTTCTAGAGTGATTGTGTGTACTCTATCCCGGTAGTTTATCTCTACTGAAACTTTGTGGCATGCTGAACGTGAGTGAGCACTACAGTATTACAAAGAGAATCTCATCATTCTGGGCCAGCAACTACAAAGAAAAAAGGGAGCTAGCTCAGCGCCGCAGCGCCTGCCTGGCAAGCCTGAAGTCCTGAGTTCCATTCCTGGTAATCTCTGCCACAAGAGAAAAAAAGATGCAAACGTTTCTCTAACGGGGTGGGTGTAGTGGTGCCTCTTGTAATCCCAGCTACTCCGGAGGCAAAAGCGGAAGGATTGCTTGAACCCACAAGTTCAAAACCAGCCTGGGAGACATAGTAAGAGACCTTGTCTTTAAAAGGACCCCCCCAAAAAAAACTTTTGTAGAATGAAAATAAGGAATGCAATTATGTCTAGTTTTTAAAGAAAGATACAAAGTATAAATATAAAAATATATAACATAAATATATATAAATAAAAATATATAAAATATAAAAAGGCAGGGAAAAACAAAAATGAAAATTTAATCGAAAAAGAAATTAGCTAGAAAACTTTTGAAGGATTGCCTGTGCTAAAAACAGCTTGGTTGGTTCTTCAAAGAGCACCACAAAACTCAAAAACCACTGAGATGGCTAGTTAAAAACAAAAGTAAAATTGAAAAGTTTAAAGGTGTTATATCAATTTATAGGAATAATAATAAGATGGTACTGAGAAAGTTTACTCTGCTTTAAAAACTTGGGAGGGCAGACCTGATAGCTCAGCGAACCAAAGTGCTACTTAGGCGGACTCAGGGACCAGGTTCATCCCCGGAGTGCCCTGTTGGCCCCACCCCAGGGCACACTGAGCCAGTGACTGAGACTGGGCGTGGTGGCACACGCCTGTAATCCCAGCACTTTGGGGGGCTGAAAACAGGAGCATCACTACAAGTCCGATCTACGCAATGGGACCCTGTAGACCCTGTCCTAAACACAGAAAAAAAATTTAAAAAAAAATAAAATCTTGGAAATCCTAACTTTAGTAAACAACTAACAAATAGGAAAATTGGCAAAAAAAAAAAAAAAAAAACCTGACACAATAAAAAAAATTGAGAACTTGAAGAAATAGAAAACAATTACCAAAGAACTCTCATCCAAGGAAAACACATAATTTTAACATTTATTGGACAGTTTTTAGATATTCTAGAATTGGTTGTATTTTACGTAATGTTTTCTTTTAAACATAAATGTTGAGAAAATGTTTTGTCTTTTCAGTTTCTTGAAGCGAGTAATTGATTTGGCTTCTAAAGCCAAAGATGCTATAAGCAAGAAAATTCTAGGTTAATCATATTTGTGATAATAAATGCTAAATTATTAGATTCTTAGCAGCCAAAACATAATCTTAGTATAAAATAAAGCTTAATCCTGTAAATATGAATAAGTAGAAAGCTCATGATACTTCAGACACATTTCACTATTCTCTCTCTGTCTCTCTCTCTCTGTCTCTGTCTCTGTCTCTCTCTCTGTCTCTCTGTCTCTCTCTGTCTCTCTCCCTGTCTCTGTCTCTCTCTCTGTCTCTCTGTGTCTCTTCTCTGTCTCTGTCTCTCTGTCTGTCTCTCTGTCTCTCTGTGTCTCTCTCTGTATCTGTCTCTCTCTGTCTCTCTGTCTCTCTCTCTGTCTCTCTCTCTGTGTCTCTGTCTCTGTCTCTGTCTCTCTCTGTTTGTCTCTCTGTCTCTCTCTGTCTCTCTGTCTCTGTCTCTCTGTCTCTCTCTCTGTCTCTCTGTGTCTCTCTCTGTATCTGTCTCTCTC